ATAATTCTAAAGGCCAACATTAAATTCCTAAGCATATTGTATCATATATCTACATGTTATGATATGACTGAGTATGTATCAAGGAAAATTCCTTCTATTTTAGCGACCTCCTAGGAAAATGTTGGCAGTATAATTCAGAAAGTATATAAATATCAGTTTCCACACTTAATAAAGAAAAAATCCCACCTCTTTTTCTCATGCATACAAGCACAGCTTATGTGCATATAATGTACAGAAATGTAGAAATGCCTCACTCTTTGAAGGTCTTTAAGCTGTAATTTTCCCTCACGTTCTTGGCAAGCTGTGTTTGGAAAGGTAAGTCAGCTGTCAGTACTCCACAGAAAGCATTATCAGGAAGGATATTACAAGTTCACTCAGGAGCTTTGTAAAGCCACAGAAAACTGCAACTACCTGATGATAAACACAGTTTTGAAAAGAGACCACTCTAAGGATAAATCAGGTTAACAGCACAGTTAACACTAGAAATACCACTGCTTAGCCAAATATTTTTTCTAAAAGAATTAAAGCAGGAAGTTACTAGAATCCATGGAATAAAACCATCACAAGTAGCAGCCAGTGCACTACAATAAAGTCCTGCCACCCTAAACTGCACACCTTCCTGACTTAGCTGGGAAAACACAGGCCTGTGCTCAACACTGTAGTGCCACCTTACCCATTACCTGTGCAGATGGCCTGAGACACTCACACAGGGTAACTCAGAAAACCATAGAAATGTCTCTTTTTCACTTCAAAAAGACTGTAAAAGGGAGGAGAACATCATTCTGGAGGCCACATAATCATACCTGTTTAACAGTTTATTTTAAATTAATTAGCCACAACAGTTATGAGGCAGAAACAAAATAAATTCTAGAAAATAGTCCATTAATAAGCAGAGATTATTGCCACCTCTCATGGTCACTAATCTGCTAAGCTATTTTTGATTTATCCATTCTTATAGTCCTGGTACTGTGCACCAATCTCTAGCTGCATTTTTTTGTTTAAAATGTTAAGTTTATTTCATGCCTTCTAGAAATAAAGCACAGAGTAAACCACCTAGTCTAGACATGCAACTCTTATTAATTGTTAAATAAACAATCATTTCCTTATTTCTTAAGCAAAGACAATAGAAAGTTTAAGTGAAAAGTGTTCACTGTATACTCAGGCATTTGTCTAAACTAAGGGTAGTCTCCCACAAGGAAAGAATTTAACCACGGCTGCAATTCCTATGGAATTGGTGCCTGCCCAATCTCAGCAGACAGTTCATCTGAGAGCTTTTCCTATTTGCACTGAGTGCAGTAGACAAGATTTCTGAAATCTTGACGGTTCTCACTCCGTGCCTCTTTCCAGGAATTACAATTTACAGCTTAAGTGATGAATTTTCCTTGCTGCTTATGTCATTGACAGAGAGTGTACCAGATCGATTCTAACTTCAAGCCTATGAAAGTATCTCCTGCTTTTGAATTCAGTATTTTAAGACAGTAAATAATCAATGAGGACTGAATACACATCTTGCTTACAAAAATCAGTGTCCATTCATACTCAAGAAGACAGAAACATTTTATAACTAACTACGCATTACTACTGAAGAAGAAATTCCACTTGTAAACCAAGAGAGCTCTAGAACATCTCTATTCCACAAAGGTTGCATTCCCTCACAACATGGAAATTCCCGCCAGAAAATTGCTTCAACACAAAAATTCTAAGATGACAGGAACTTGCAGACCACATACAATATGGCTATGGATAATCTTCCAGGCATGGCCACTCTCTTTTTCTGTTACAGAAGAGGGAAATTCTAAAGTAAGACGTAATCCAGAAAAGAATCCAGAATGAGGAAGCCACTGAACAGCCACCTCAGAGATTACAGAAGAACATGACCACAATGGTGCACAGAAAATAAAAATGTTAAGTTACAAGAGAAAAAGTGAGGTAAAAATTGCAGTGATAGAAATGAAATTTTAGCATTTAACATATTTTTAAAGTACCAAGATTAAGCTGATTTGTCTTGTTAAATTCTCCATCCAAGTAGTGTTTCCTACTTTTAGGTTACTTTTTGCCTTGTTGCATTACACAAGATTATTTTTAATCAAAACCATACATTTTTCATGTTCAGTGATGTCAAAGAAATAAATGCATAAAACTCACAGACTATAATCTTCAAAGAGTAACAGACATTCTTTACTTCTGAGTGGTTACAAGCACGCACTCTTTTCCAGCATCAGGAACTTTCCTAACAGAAACATCTAAATCAGAGAAGCGTTCAGCACACAGATCCACCTAAGTTCAGCATCTTTCCAGTAATGAATATAATTCTGACCTCTGTTGACAGATCTGAAGACTCCTATCTCTAATTAACAACTACCCTTTCCTGTCTACCAGCGATAAATGTCACGAGTGTGCAACACCACAGTTTCCTTTTTTTAGACACTAGATAAAACCAGCGTGTGATCATGACAAGGATGTATGATATTCACTGTTCCACAAAACACTGCACTTCTAATCTATTCAGTTAAACCTTCTCTCGATCCTCTTTAAGAAAGGTAGCTCTGCATAAAGACAGGTCAACTCTTTGCTGCTATATAAAGTTGAAGGTTAAAATACGTAAGCTGATGTGGGAGACTATTTCCTGCTGAAAGAAAAGCCCTTTAAACACTAGAACCTCAAATCTAATTTGTCAGCTTATTGATGCTTCCATGCATACTGCCACTGCAAAGCATCTGTCTTTCTGTGAAGCCACTGTTTTGGATAAATGGTTAATGCTACCTAGCAGAAAATCAGCATGAACTGACAGTAGAAGCAATACAGAAATCAGTCACATATGTAAGCACTTAAAATTCCAAATTTTAGGTGAAAGACCAGACCCTTAGCTTTAATCAAATCTAGCTGCTAAGCTGAAGGTGCCAACTGGACTTACAGTTATCAGTAAATGTGACTTACACTTGACTGACCTAAATAGGGAAGTGCACCAAGTATGAGTCACCCAACTTTTTCTTATACTCTTTCTAAAGAGTATAAAAAAAAAATACATTTGGCTTCACTGGAAACATTCTTAGTTAAACCAGCCCTTTATACGCTTACTCTTGACTAACATCATCTTTTAACAAGAGAGTGGGGTAACTTTATTCAGCCACTGATGCTATGCTACCAACTTAATTTAAGGGGCAACACAGCCCATAATGAAACAAGCTCATCTGGGTCTCCCACTCGCCTCTGCACCATAACACTGTTACTGGTGATGACTGGGTAGCAACCCCAAACTCAGCAACTCATCACTAGATGGCTACAGTATTTCTGGAAGACCTGCTGGGAAGAACTATACAGTTCACTTACAATATATTACCAGCTGTGAGAGGTGAATAAAGCAAGAACTGCCACAACAAAATCTACCTATGAAGCGGTCCAGGCTTATGCAACAAACCTGACAAACCCAGTTTAAATGTCTTCTGAAGCCACAGCCAAAGGCAAGTGGGACTTGTAAAAACACACAAACAGCTGAAACCAAAAGGGAAGCTCAAAGGATTTTCCACGGGGCTTGGTTTGGAGCTAGTGGTTGTGTGGCACTGGGCTGCTCGCTGGGTTTACACCACGACAGCGCACAAAAAAGGAGGGTGAGCAAAAAAGCAGACCACTGTAATACTCAAATTAGTTATTCTGATTTTCATTAACTACCAATGCAATTTTTAGATGCATCCTCAAAGTGCACACCATTCAGAGTCAATTCTTTCCAAACAATGAGGTACAGTCACACTGCACACACACCGGGAGACATCAGTGCTTCAACTCCTCATGAGTGAGATATTTTACTGTTAAGCTTTTGATACTTGGACTTCTTTTTAAAACTATTGAGTGTTTTTGTTACTTTCAACAAACAAAATGAAACTTACTTCCTGGTAAGCAAACAAAAACACCTTAGTGTTTTGTTTGGTTCTGTTTTTTTTTTAGTTTGTATTCTCTGGCTAAGTTCAATGTTCATAATTTAGGAAAATAACCTTACCATACATTTGCATAAAGCCTCAGTCAGTAAGATACAGCACACAGATTAACAAAGGTAGCCCATGTGAAAAAAGAAAACCTCTACTTTGCTACTAGAGCTTGCTGTTACTGACATTTTGCCTGGAAAAGAGGTCCCTTTTACTGTGAAATTGACTTTAAAACCCCTGTCAAGACTTTTAACAGCAAAGAAAAATAATTCATAATGGTGATGCTCATTCTATCATAATACTTTAGATCAAAGCCTTCTTCCTAAAAAGAGCTCCTAAAATAACCAGAGCTGCCCATACATTCAATAGAAGCTACTCCAAGCTTTTACTTCAGGAAGGAAGAAAATACCAGGCAGCAAATCTACAGCAGGTTCTCACTTCTTTCATACTGCACTGAAGGATAACAATGTTTAAAGCCTCATTAAAAACTCCACAAGTACAGAATATGAATTTCAGTTTAATAAACAGTCAACTTCAGCCAGACCATCTCTGTACTAGGTTTTCACTTCTATTTTAAAACATCAAAGAAAATCAAATTTCAGGCCATTGTCTTTCTGTCATCAGTATTTCTCAAGGTAGCATGCAGAGCAGTAGCTTTTAAGTCTGAATTCCTCTACACTCAGAAAAAGCCCTTATTCTGACCTCAAGGCACTGCACCAGGATTTGTCACAATCTGTGACCCAGCTATGTTAATCATGCTCCTTGGCGAGCGGAAACCCACAAGTGCTGAACCAACTTTTAACACCAAAGTTTTAGCACTAGAAATTTTGAGAAAGGCGAATTACACAATTCCATCTCTTTATTCACATTACGATTTCGGTTAAATCAGCTTTGTTCCCTTAAACTCGTGAAGGGAAAAAAAAAAAAAGCATCATTCTATTCACAATTCAATACAGCTGTGTATGACTGGCTTCAGCCCCAGGCCACAAGCCAGGAACTTCTGAGTTCAAGTCTGGCTCTGCCTCTGACTTTCTGTGTGGCCTCTGGATTTCTCTGCTCCTCTAACGTCTGTACACTTACCTTACAGAAAGGCACTTGCTTCGTTTGTGCAGGCTGTTCCCAAACGCAAAACTCGAACTGACTGTGAGAGCCATTTTCATTGTGTATTTCATAGGTGTACAGACCACCTGTGCCCTGCCAAGAAGCCTCTGTCAGTTGACACCTGGTGGTTTTTAACTGTAGTAACTGCCAACATGCACTTATTACATACGTGCATACACACACCCGTATCAGACACACACAAACAGAAAAACACGTAGTAAGCTGGAAAATAGACAATTATTTCAAAGTTTCTTAATAAACAAGATGAAAATATGAAATTGAGTTACGTGCTATAATTCAGTTTACAATGAAGAGCTATCTGTAACCTTGTTCTTTTTAATGCACTGACCCAGTGATGAAGCCTGTTTTTAACAGCTTAGCATGAAACAAATAGAGCAATCAACGCTCAAGCTAAAATGATCACAACAACTAATATTTAGAATATTACCTAAACAATAGAAGAATGGCCTAAGACTGTAAATGGGAAGAAGCATTTAAGCTTAACCAAGTTATCTAATACTAGCTGAAGCATCATTTAAAAGGTAAGTTTTTCAAAGAAAAAGATTAAGAGAAGTTACATAAATTTAAGCTGACCCTATACTTGGCAAGTCCATAGTAGGAGAGTTTCACTTCACATTTCTGAGACTGAAGCAAAACATCACAGCTTTTTCTGAGCATGAAACATTCAAATACAGGTCACCACCTTTAAAACAGTCACCTTTAAATTCACATCTGAGAAACTACCTTGTCTCCAAAACATTATCAAGACAGGCTGACTTTCCATATATGAACCTGTTTGGTTTTCAATGGCCCAACTATGGCAAGCTAGCTTAAAGAATAGTGCAGCTGAGGCTTTAGGGTACATTAAGCTGCAAAAGTAAATTCTAGACTCTCAAAGTTTAGCTTTTGTCTGCTTCTGCTCTTTTCATCTTGTTATACCTAAAATCTGGTAAAACCACACTTCCAACAGTTTTTTTGTGTCAGGATATATATTTTATTTATAGTAGCTGGCAAATGTAGCGCAAAACTACCTACTAATTAATAATACAGCAGAGTTAACTTGATACAGAATAATGTGTTATTTTATGATAAAAACAGTCACCCAAGGACTTAACAAGAAGTCACCATTCCAGAACAGCTACCATGTAAGATGAGGTGGTTAAATGCAAATTCAGATATCTTTTGCACAAGACGACTAAACTGGCTCCAACAGCTGAAAAATTATCTGTATGTAAGGCTTAGGATTCCCCCATCTCCATCTTTCTCTCAGCATTGCTTGGTATCAAGCACATAATGTGAACGTTACCTGCAAAGGAACAGAAATCTTGACTCTGGAACACAAGACTATTTAATTTTCAATTCCCATTAATATTGCTACAACTGCCTTCTGTAGCACCAGCTGGAACCTTCTTTTATACTAGGCTGAAAAAAGCTTTTGGGGTTTTACTTCAGGTTAACCAAGCATTTTTAGAGGCAATTTGAACCTAGCCCACATTTAGATTCCCACCAATGAACACGAACTTGTAATGACATCTGCAAAGAAAAACAGAGCTAGATTAAAAACGGCATATATATAACCTCAACAGGACATCCTCTATTTCCATGCGCCATACTTTTAACCAGTTTTAAGTGCATTAATCTGTATTTTTCTAATATTTATCATAGAAGATGCCTTGACTAAAACAGTGAGGTAATAACACTAATAATACCCAAGTAAAATCTAACAAAATAGGAAAGGTTTATTTCTGAGTCTTAACTAGGATATAGAAGAATTCATTCAAAAAAATTCACATGGCAATGAAACAATCCACTATTTTCTGCTTCACAGGACAACTGGTTTTCAGTGTACATATGAATAAGCTAAGAAAAAATAAGTGCTAAGTTTTGGTACCCTCTGCCCTGTCTTCCCCTGCATACTCAAGGTAGCCATTTTCACTTTTATTGTCCTCAAACTCTCTCCAAGTAAGACGCAGAACAGCCTGGAAAAAATCCAGCAAGAGCTACCAGATTAGGATATCCAAGCATTATAATACCAACATTCCCTTGTATGTTGTGATCAAATCATCCTCCCTATGAATTGCTCAGCAAAAGACTGAGCACAAACATGCTGCATATTTAGTGGGCAAAGTCATGTATCAGAATATTTCAGTTTCACTTTAGTTAACGAAGTTCTCAGTGGTAGCCAACCTCTTGCCAAAGAAAGCTGGTTTGTAGTCAAGTATATCTAGAGTACCAACACAGAATTAGAACCATGTGTTTTAAATCAGACCCTGAATCTGGCATGATTGCTTAAGCAAAATTATATACAATTAAAAATATAAATACTAATACAGAAGCTGCAACAAGAGCACAAACACTGCTACATTAGCACCCTAATATTAAGTTGCAATGTCTTCTACTACGAACACTAAAATACAAACTGGTGCAAAAAACATGGAAGAAAATACTGAAGACTTATTTTAAGGAAGGTTTAAATGACACAGGACACTACATCCTGGAAAAGTGGATAGCTCAGGCACAAACAAGTTCACAAGCATACAATGACCAGAATGACAACACATTTGTGTATATTTGCCACAGAGCACATGTAAAATGGGACAATTAAGCTCTACTCTAATTAATGGTTAAGTGGCATTAGCAGATCATACATTTAACCTTTCCTATTTTCATATAGGTCAACTAGCTCAAAAAAAACTCAGAATCTACAAAAGCCGTTTTAAAAACCCCAATTCCAGCAGTTTCACTGCAGCTTAAGTTTTGCCACTTTCCTACGTACACAGAGGCTGTGCCCAACAGCCACTGAGATTACAAGTGGACAGCAGATTTATGACTATGTTATTCAGCAAATGCTGTGCTTAAAAAGGGGGGAAAAAAATCCCACTGAGAATACCTGAAGTAATTTTCCCGTTGTTTTATTTTTTAAAGAAATTCTTCTTCTCTGATTCAGAAATTAAGGCAATATTCTGCTTTAGTTTAAATCAGTTCAGCTGCTATACTCAGACCTGTACCTCAGGAAGCCTTAACTCTACATCTGCTAAGCACACTGGGAAAGCTGAGCATGCTTCCCTTATAATTTTCACATGCACAGTGAGGTTTGATGTAATTTTAAGGAACTAAAAAAGAATGGTCACCTTGATTTAAAAACATTCACGCCTTTCTGCTTTTTAGTTGCTGAAGTAACTATGCTGTTCAAAGCACACCCAACGACAATGGAGCTCTATGTCAAAACGATGCTCTTCTGACACAAATTAGACAACTACTTCTTTGTTTGCAGAGAATGCATCTATAAAAATAAACATTTAAAAGCTGAAGTGTTTTTTCAATGGACTACCTCCCTGTATTATTTCTTGCTGCTCTTACTGGAGCTATGTCAAAATGTGTTGATCTCCCCCACTGCTAAAATGTGGCCTCACACATCCCGTCCTAAGAGAAGAACTCCCCTGCTGGCATGAAATCAAACACAATTGTGTCGTGATGCCTTGTTTCAGTTTTGCTGTAGTAAATTCCAAGGTCACATTTCACTTCTAAAAGTCTCAATTTAACACATATTTTTATTAATATAAACAAGCCTTATACTTTTAAGCATTTTACCACCCATCAGTGTCAGGTACTCTTAGATGATTTTCTCTGCCTAACATATACAAGCATCCATATAATTGAGTTCAGACACAAATGGTAGCACTGTAAGGAGCAGCAGTCAACTTTCATTCTTACTAACTGTGTTTTTTTAACAAAACTGCCCTCACTATCTCCAGATGTATCAGCACACATTTTTCCATGGTGTTTAACCCATTTTGGTTTGTTCTGCCTTTAAAGTACATCTTGTGTTTCATTAATCTATCTTCTCTTAGGTGTGTGAAAAAACTCCAAGGGTTGTATCTTATGTTATGTTTTCCCACATGACTAAACAGGCTAATTAAAAGTAGTCCTTAAAGTACAATATTTTGAATAAGAAGTTCTTCAATTTACTCAGGCTACAACACCCAAATATCACATCAACCAGTTCTTAAGACACAACTTCTCAGAAATTATTAAAAAATATACAATTGTAGTAACAGCAGGGCATTTCACCCCTAAACTATATTGCCAGCATACTGTATACAGACAGGAAAACAGCCTTTAAAATGACAATATCCATTAACCTTAGTAATTCCCTTCAGAAGTCTGCAGATGGCACAAAAAAAAACCCCAAACAAATCAGGGTTTGCATATACTCATGCTGCTCCCAGAATATATGATCTGTCTCAGCAAGAAAAAAAACCCAAACCCAGCAAAACAAAACCCCAACCAAACAAAAACAAAACACAAAACCCCCTGTTGTGTTCTTTAGCAGGAAGCCTACGTGTAAAGGAGAACTTAAGCAGTGACAAGTGCTAAATGTACAGCTCTGGAGTTGGAATTCACCGCAAATACAGAAAAGCACCACAAACACAAAAAGGCACCGTTCCTCCTGTGTTCTGAAGAACAATTACAGCACCATCACAACAACAAAATAGAAATATTCTCAGTATATAGTAGTTATCTCCATGGCAGCTCCACATTTGCCTTTAATGCTGAAGCAGCCAAAACCTGTTATCTTGACACCCAACTTCAAGCAACTTGTTTGTCCAATATTTGAAAGATGGCACATGCAATCAAACCATGTAAAACTCCTAATGCTAGCATTATATCAGCAACTAATGATTTCAGAAGAAATACATCTTTGTATTAATCTAACCTGAATTTTACATCATTAATTCTGGAGCAATAATGTTAGCCCAATATTTACAGTTTACCTACTTGAAATCTAAGGTAACAAAACTAGAACCCTGATACTCACATCTGATTCCCTTGCCAGGACATGAAATACAGGTCCTTGGAGCTAAACGTCCTACGTATCTTATTTTCTTGCCTCAAATCTTGAGCTGTTTAAACAGGAAACCAATACTTAACGAGGTGAAACAGCTCTTAGGAAGGCAGTAGATGGTTTCCTAATCAATTAAAGCAAAAATCACTGAAACTTTTCAGCTATGAACTACTACCAGCTGAAGAGAGTACCAAGGGTGCAGCTTCCAAGAAATATTGTTCAAAATCAACTTTTCACCTTCCATCCT